GGACATAAATGACCATTCTGTTCCAGGGCACAAAAGAAAGCCTTTAATGGTATGCATACACTTTTAGAATATCTATTTATGCGCATTGTCAAATAAGAGGACAGGCTTTATCAGTCATTTATAATGCATGTGAGATGTAWTAAAAGTCAAAATRTTTGAAGTTTTTCCAGAACAAGAGACAGAACTCTTTCATATAAATCAATGCCAGCTTGTGTTGAATTCATGTTTGGGTTCACTTGCTGAAGAACATATTCAGATAACTCTTCTTCATGAGAAATTTCAACAGGTTGGACAATGACATTATTATCAGAGCTTGAAAAAGGAGATGGGCCTTCTGGATCTTCACCATAAAATGTGTCAGCATCGACATCATCCAAACCATTTTGGCTTAGAGGATTACTTTCATTCAGCATTCCATTGAGCCATATTTGATTTGGAGTCCAACTAGATTCTGTTGAAAGGCCATGATTGTTGAACATGTTTTTAAATACATTGAGTGAACAGTTTATTCTTGGCTTGAATACAAGATGAAGTGCAAACATGTGGATGGGATTGTCAACATTAAGTATTCCAGTTTGTTCCATTGCATAAAAATGATAATAGAARAATTGGCAAACACAACGAAAAACATCACGCCACAGCCTTTCAATTCTTTGGTTTCTAGTAGAAGAACCAGCTATGAAACTACCTCTTCCCTCTCCTCTTCTAGCAACCATTGCATCACATACCAACACATTTTCGACACCATGATCAACTCTTATACGAGATGGCCACAACCTGCCATTCTCTTCAATAGTTTCTTCAAACAAATGCAACACAGTCTCAGCTAGGTTGTTGGTGTTACATTTCAAAAACATTATTTTTCTRGATTTGCCATCACAGCACCCATGAATGACAAATTTCCACCGTATTAGGGAGTGGTGTCCATCTAAATGCCATAATGAATTAGGCCAGGGAACACAATATTTTCTCCTTGAGACTAAAGCCCCCAGCGAAGAGCTGTGTTGCGTGGGTCAACTCTGTTGATAGATGCTCTAATGCGTCTTCTTTGGATATGYAACCCCAGAGACCGGAAATGTCCTGTTATGAATGTTGCTCCTGTTGTGGTACCGTGGTGAGCAATGTATTCCTTTATTATATTGTCAATTCTCTCATCAGAGATCTCAGAAAAACTTTTCAAATTTAGCAACCCGTAGTCTTGTACCCTTCGCATAATTGTCCATCTTGATACTTGGAACATCTCTGAAATTTTTTTCCAAGAGAAACTACGGCCCCTCAACTCTTCTAAAATATCCTTTGGAATGAAGAAGGCAGGCCTACCAGGTTGATTGTCATRTATAGTTGACAATGACAGTATACACGGTACAGTAGTATGAGTATTTGTAGCTTCACGATCAAAAATATTATTAAATTCTTGCTCTATTTCAATGAAAGTATTCTTTAGATTTTCCCAAGCTTTTAAGTCATCAGGGTCTATTACGAAGTTGGTAATAGTGGATAGAAGTTGGACCGTTTGCTCGAGCAAATCCAAGTGCAAGAGTATATC